CTTTGGGATCTGTAGAACTTGGATGAGTCTACAAAGATCCTTAGCGAAGAAGTCGAGTTGGACCGTTGGTATGGCGGCAGCAGTGGGGTGTGGGTGCAGCTGCCGGGGCTCTAGCAGGAAGGGGACTCAGCCTACTGCCTTTCCAAGGGCACTCCAGCGTTTCCAACCAGGGGGACCAGTGTGTCCATGAATTTCAGCTGCTTAGTTTGTAACTCCTTGGGGATTTAGTTCATGCCTCTGAAGATCAGAGCCAGAGGATGAGTTGACATGGCAGTGGCTGTGGTAGAATGGGTCCATAATTGGGTTTTAGACATACCATGTGCTAGCAACAACCTCTCACCCACCCCCATCCCCAGGCGGCCACTTTGGCAGGAACCTTTTTAAGTTTGGTTGTTGAGTTTGGGTCTCTTCTTTTCAGTGTTGTTGACTCTGTGACTTAGGTATTTAACTCCTTTCCACCACCAACGTACTCGGGTCCCCTTGACCCCTGCTCCCCATTGTTTCCCATCTGTCTCTCTTCCCCTTCAATTTCTTTCTTCTTCTGCCTTCTCCTCCCTATATTCTGGATCTAAGGGTGATCCAGGCAACCCCCCCCTTCCAAACATTGCATTCCCTCAACCAGCTATTATCTATACCACATATAAGTGAGATCATCCTGTGTTTGTCCTTCTTCTGGCGTCATTTAACATGGTATTTTCCAGTTCCATCTGTGTTGCAGAGAATTGCATGATATCACCTTTCCTTGCAGCTGCGTAGTATTCCATGTGTATATATATCACGCCTTCTTGATCCACTTACCCATCATTAGACACCTAGGTTGATTCCTTATTGTAGTTATTGTACTGAGTGCTCCAATGAGTTATGATGTGCATATGTCTTTGTGTCCTGGGGGTAGAGTCTACTTTTTACCAAAATTAAATTTGTGAATTACAAATGCTTGAGCTGCACATTTTGGTTCTTTTACAAGTGTTGCACACACACTACACTTTTTCCTCTCTCCTTTCCCGAACTTTGGCTCTTAGACTAGAATGATGGTTTATGTATATATAACCACCTGGGTGCTTAGAAACATACTTACTGTTGATCTTTTAATTTCCATCCTCTTAAACAAAAATGAAACAGCTTACCAATAGAAATGCTTTCTATTTTGATGGAGGCAGGAGATAGTTGGGTCACACCTGGCTGTGCTCGGAGCTTACTCCTGGCTCTGTGCTCAGGGATCAGTCCTGGCAATGCTCAGGGCACCATGTGTGGTACTGAGGCTTGAACCAGGCTTGGCCACATGCAGGGAAAATGTCTTTATTCCAGTACTACTTCTCCAACCCAGATATGCTTTCATTAGAAGCTATCAATCCTTTTTTGGTTTGTATTTTTGTTTTTGTTTGCTTAGAGGACACATCTCGTGGTGTTTAGGAACCGGGTGGTGCTGGCGATTAAACCTGGGCTCCAATATGGGCATTCCTAAAAAAACTAGAAATTGAGCTTCCATATGACCCCGTAATACCAATTCTTGGGATATATCCGGAGGTTGTAAAAAAAAGCACAGTAGAAATGACATCTGCACCTGTATGTCCATTGCAGCACTGTTCACGATAGCCAGAATCTGGAAACAAACCAAGTGCCCGAGAACAGATGACTGGTTAAAGAAACTTTGGTACATCTACACAATGGAAGACTATGCAGCTGTTAGGAGAGATAAAGCCATGAAATTTGCTTATAAGTAGATGGACATGGAGAGTATCATGCTAAGTGAAACGAGTCAGAAAGAGAGAGACAGACATAGGAGGACTGCACTTATTTGTGGAGTATAAAACAACATAACATGAGACTGACACCCAAGGACAGTAGACACAAGGGCCAGAAATAGTACTCTATAGTTGGAAGGCTGTCTCATGAGCTGGGGGAGAAGGCAGCTGGAATAGAGAAGGGATCACTAAGTCAATGATGGTTGGAGGGATCATTCGGAATGGGAAATGTGTGCTGAAAGTAGATTAAGGACCAAACGTGATAGCCTCTCAGTATCGATATTGCAAAGCATAATGCCCAAAATTAGAGAGTACGGGAAAAATTGTCTGCCATAGAGGCAGGGGAGGGTAAGGATGGGGGAGGGGCAGGGATACTGGGGATATTGGTGGTGGAAAACATGCACTGGTGGAGGGATGGGTGTTCAATTATTGTATGACTGAAACTCAGACATGAAAGCTTTGTAACTATCTTATGGTGATTCAATAAAAAAATTTTTTAAAGAATTTTAAAAAATACAAAAACTGGGTTCCTGCATGCCGAGCATGTGCCCAGCCCACTGAGCCCTTTCTCTGGCCTAGAAGCTGGACATCCCAAGGGAAAAGGTTAATTGACTGCACTGTAGACACCCATAATATCCTAAATATTTCTTCTGAGATCACATTTTTTTTTTAGACAGAAAGATCATTACTCTTTTTATTTATTTTTTAAATTGAATCACCATGAGATACACAGTTACATGATTGTTCATGATTGGGTTTCAGTCATGCAGTGTTCCAATGCCCACCTCTTCACCAGTGTACGTTTCCCATTGTACATTTTAAAGCTGATGGTAATCAGATCCTTTCATTCTTACAAAAATGTATCCATTTATCCTCTGAGGACAAATACATTTAATGCCTCCTGTGTTAGGGCACCAGGCTGGGTCAGGCTGCAACAGTGTGCAAAGCAGACCCAGTCTTACCTTTCTGGCACCCTCTTCTCAGAGGGGATTCCCAGGCCAGTTACATTTGCTGTCTGCTTCAGAAGAAGAACATGGGTTGTTCGGGAGAGTAGATGAAAGAGAAGAAGAAATCTAAATCTCTTCTGCTGGAGTTAGAAGAAACAGCAGGGCGGGTTAGAGCCAGAACCCTGCCATCTACACCTGTGAGATGCTCCTTCTCTCCCACTCTCCTTCAGCTGCAGTGGCTCCTTCCCTGCATGATCAGCGCCAACCGCTAGATTTGAAGAAGTAAAAGAAGTGCCCATCCTCAACAAAGGCGAGCCAGAGCAGTAGTATAGCGGGGTAGGGCGTTTGCCTTGCACACGGCCAGTCCAAGTTCTGGCTGATCTGGGTTCCATCCCTGGCATCCCATATGCTACCCCAAGCACTGCTTTGAATGATCTCTGAATGCAAGGCCAGGAATAACCCCTGAGCATTGCTGGGTGTGGCCAAAAAAAAAAAAAAGAAAAGAAAAAAATTTAAAAAAAAAAAGAATGCACTATATAGGGTGTTTGCCTTACCATGGCCAACCCTGGTTCGATTCCCGGCACCTCATATGGTCCCTTCAAGCCATGAGTAAGGTCATGAAATGATCCCTGAGTGCAGAGCCAGGTTTAAGGCCTGAGCACTGCCAGATGTGGCCCCCCAAAATAAAAAAAAATAAAGACAAGAAATCCTTTCATAGATCTTATCAACAGATGTGTAATTTCTTTCTTCCTTTCTTTTTTAAGATTTTAACTTAAAGCTCTTAAAAATTATCTGTCAAGAAGCTGAAAACATTGTTCAGAAATTGAGCCACAAGTCACCTCTTGGGGCTGGAGAAATAGTACAGCTGGTAGGGCATTTGCCTGCCTTGCACGCAGCCAACCCGGGTTTGATTCCCAGCATCCCATATAGTCCCCTGAGCACCGCCAGGAATAACTGCTGAGTGCAGAGCCAGGAGTAACTCCTGTGCATCACATCGTCAGGTAGTATAGCGTCACATCGACCCAAAAAGAAAAAAAAAAGTCACCTCTTGCTTGTTACAGGTGACCTATTGTCAGACCATTCCAGACTGGCCATGTTGGCTTCTTCGACTAATTTGGGCTGAAGCTCTCAAATGAGTTTCTTCGTTGCCCCGCAAAGAGTAATTATAATAGCAACTAAGAAGTCTTGAATGCTTTGTGCCAGTCAGTCCTCTAAACACTTTGCTAGTGTCATATACCATCATCACAATAGCTCTCTGCGTCATGTCGCATCTTTCTAAAGTGGAAGAAACCAGCCGATAGAGTTTAGCTTGCCCATGATGATGCAGCTGGTGAATTTTGAAGCTAGTAGCAGACAGAGTCACTCTGAAATCTGTTCTTCAGCACAGCTCTTGCAGCCTTGTGGTATATACTTGCCAGAGTCACTTATAAACAAGGATTCCAATTTTCATTTTTCCACAAGTGGCCAGTTGCGTTACCTTAGAAACCTGGAGTTTATTGTTTAGAATGTAATTGTGTTTTGTATTAAGATGCCCGAGGTTTTAAAGCAGAGTAAAGAATTCTGAAGCAGTGACTCTAAGGTTGCACCAATTTCCTTTTTGCTGGCTGCTCTTTTAGTTCTGGAAGTAAGCATGGGGTAAAGCTAGTTTGGTTTTTTGATTTTTGCTTTCTTGTATCTGGATTAGTTGTTCAGCAGCAGAAAAAAATAAGCAAATAGGGACTCATGTATGCTTGGGAGAAGAATGTGCTTTCCTGGTAATACTACAGTTAGCAGGAAACACATTTTTTTGGTGCATACCTGACACCACTGAATAGAGTTTCTGCTCCCCATCTCAGCTGAACCGAAGGATGGGTCAGCAGCCTGGAGATTGAGAAGCCCTCAGAACTTATTTGAACTGGGCTAGTACCCAACATCAGGTTGTTTATTTGGCAGCCTATTGTTACAAGAGTAAGAAAACCTCAGGATTTGAGTTTTTATCCGCCCTTTGTTGTGTATCCTGACTGGCTCCCAGTAATCAATGATCTTCTCTTCCAGCTTCCTTTTTCTTCCAGTGGGTTGATTCATCTGGAGAGATGTAGTCCGGGCTTCTAAAGTGTTGGTACTAGCTCCCACTTCAGAGTTGAGAAGGGGGAGAGTTGCAGTTTAAGAATTCACATTTCTTAAAGATTAATGAAGTGCTGGAAAGGTTAAGTGGCTTGAACAGACATGGAACAAGTTAGTTATTGATTTTCTGCACCGCTCTCTCCTCTGCCTTTGATTCCATTTCCCATTTTTCTCTCCTCTCCCATCCCCTTCCATTTCCAATCAGGTATATCTTTGCAAAGAGCCTTTTTGAAAATGGCTCCCTCAGTGACATCGAGTGGCACATCTACCAGGACTGGCACTCCTTTCTCTTGCAGCAGTTTGCCAGCCAGCTACAACTTCATGGCTTCATCTACCTCCGGGCTACTCCCCAGGTAATGTGAAAACCTAAAGCCGTAGGCCAGGGCTCTGTGAGCTGACTCCTGGTTTTCTGGTGCTTGAACTTAATGTGGTGGGCATTAGTCAGAGCCTGGGGGACGGTCAGTGAGCGCACGCCCGCACCAGCACAGAGTACCCTCTCCCACCTACGCTCTGCAGCCGAAACTGGGGCAAGTGTCTCTTGAAGTAACAGCAGCAGAGAGCAAATTGGACTTTAAAAATAGTTGAGGTGGGCTAGAGCAATAGCACAGCGGTTAGGGCGTTTGCCTTGCATGCAGCCGACCCAGGTTTGATTCCCCGTATCCCATATGGTCCCCCGAGCACTGCCAGGAGTAAATCCTGAGTTGCAGAGTCAGGAGTAACCCCTGTACATCACCAGTGTGACCCAAAAAGAAAAAAAAAAACTAAAATAAATTTTAAAAAATAGTTAAGGTGGTTGTTTTGTTTATTACTTTTTTTAAATATATATAATAATGTCAGCATTGCCTGCCTCATCCTTGCTCCCTGCCCTTTCCCTTCCCCTCCCTTGGTAACCTTAGTTCTGTTGTCAGAAAAACATGTTTTTTTTTATCCTCCAGGGTTTGTGCATTGACCCCTCTACAGTTGGCTCCCCCCCAACTCTTCCTTTCCTCCAACTGGGCCAGCAGAATGTGGGGAGGAGGAGAAGGAGGAAGATTTCCTCATCCTGTTCTGATGCCAACCTAATTTATAGTCCATTCTGTGGACTGTGCATTAGTTTGGTTTGGCTATAGGAGCCACACCCGGCAGTACTCAGGGGCTTCTCCTGGCTCTATCTAGGCCTGAGGGTGGCTCCCGGCGGTGCTCAGAGGACCATGTGGAGCTGTGGATTGAGCCCGGGCCTGCCACATGCAAAGCATATGCTCAGCCCTTTGTGCCGTCTCTGCAGTTCCCTTGAGCCCTCTTTGAACCTTGAGGATGCTTCTGACCAGGCAGGATGGATGACAGAATTTGCTCTCCATGACTCTCTGACTGAGAATGTAGACACAGCCTGGCACATGGGGATGGGGGTGCGGGGACGGGGAGTGAGATAGGAGAGGCACTATTGCCTCTGAAAAGAATGAGGCCGACACTGGGTGCATGAAGTTTAAGGTGAACAATGACTAGACAGTCGGGATGGGGATGAATGTCAGTGGCTGGGGAAAGACCCCAGCCAGAGAGGATGGCTCGAAGTAACCTAGCATTGGGTTGGGGTGAGAGGAAAGCCCTGGCCCCAGGAAGGCTCACGGCCAGAGCAAAGGACACGTGCTGGTGGACCCAGTCAAGACTGTGGCTGGAGTAGAAAGAGGTGACAGAGGTTTCCAGGGGGAAGAGAGGAGTCTCGGGATGACTGAAGAAGCAGCAGGTTGAGAAGCTGAGCTTTAGGAGAAGAATCGAGAAAGGGGAGGAACCTTTGCTCAAAGAAGCAGAACTTCACACACTTGGTTCAGGGCCATGAAGACAAGCTCGGCTTTAGGAAACGGGCAGAGCTGTTCCTGGAGCCAAACGGCGTGCTCGGCCCTCTCCTGGCAGCGACTTTGTTTCTGGGACCTGGGCACTGGGTTGAGAAAACGAGGACAGTGCTGGTGGTAGTGAAGATGATGGTGTGGCTTGGAGCCAGAGCAATGGTACAGCGGGTAAGGCACTTGCCTGGCACACGTCTGACCTGGGTTCAACCCCCGGTATCCATTGTGGTCCTTGAGCACTGCCAGGAGTGATTTCTTTATGCAGAGCCAGGAGCAAGCCCTGAGCATTGCCGGGTGAGAACCCCCAAACAGAAACAAAAAGGGAAATAATCAGGCTCACAGGATGATTGATAAGAGGTCTTTCAACTGAGTTAGTCTGAGGGGAACTGAAGGATTGCCTCGGTTTAAGATGTGGCTTGCTCATTCTGTGAACAAATGGGGACTTGGGTAATGTTTCACCTAGGGGACATGAGAGCCAGGGGACCTAGGAATGCTGCTGTCCTCCCCGAGGTCAGCCCTGACTCCTGTGTGCAGGCCCTGGTTAGTGCTATTAGAGACTCCGTTCAAGTAAGCTTGCACTTTTTTTTTTAACTGATAATAAATCATAATGAAATTTATTTTATGACACAATCCTAAGACTCTTAACACTGGGAGCTGGAGGTAGGGTGTTTGCTTTGCATGTGACTGACCTGGGTTAGATCTCTGGCATCCCATGTGGTTCCCCCACACACACATACCCAGCACCGACCGGAGTAATTCCTGAGTGCAGAGCCAGGGGTAACCACTGAGCATTGCCCGGTGTGACCCAAAAAGCAAACAAAGACTCTCAACAGTTCTCACATTCACTTATGTGACTCCCTGACATGTTTAAGAAGCAGCATGAAGGGGCCAGAGCAGTAGCGCAGCAGGTAATTTGTTTGCCCCACACATAGCCAACCCCGGGTTCGAGCCCCACTTTATTTTATTTATTTATTTATTTTTTTAAATGAGAAGAAAAATGCTTGGGTGTCTTTGTGCTTCCTCCGGCCCATGGGGCTGGGAGGCGTGGGCGCAGCTGATGTGTACCTCTCAGCATCAGGCCCACGGACACTGCCAGAGAATGAGGAGAGTGGGTAGGAAACCCCCCGAAACGAGGCATCTGGGACAGCCCTGAGACACAGCCTGGGCCCATGCCTTAGCAGCCTCAGCGCAGGCCCGGCCTCCGACCCCACAGCCCCAGCAGCAGCTCCTCTTCGGGGGAGAGGCGAAGGGGCAGATTGGCACTTGTAGTCCCTCCTGCTCACATTCAGGTGTGTCCTCCTGCATGGGCTGAGATGCAGAGCACTCAGACTGTATCACTGTTCACAAAGGATGGCTTTCAGTGTTTAAGAATTTGTGGTAACTAGGACTGGGGAGATAGCATAGAGGGTAGGTGCTTGCCTGGCATGTGGCTCACCCGGATTCGATCCCCAGCGTCCTGTATGAAGTTCTCCAAGCACTGCCAGGAGTAATTCCTGAATGCAGAGCCAAGAGTAACCCCTGAGCATTACTGGGTGTGGCCCAAAAAACAAAAAAAGAAAATTATTGTAACCCTAGCCGTGCAACAAGAATGCGGCCAGATGCTCAAAATAGGAGTTAATCTAGATCTATGGAGGGGAAAGTTTGCTCTTATAAATGAATTAACAGTTAAAAGGGGGAATGTTGACCTATTTTAAGAGGAGAGACTTTAGTATCAATATTTGCCTGCAAGCAATGAATGAATAATTATAGCCTTAATAAAAATAATTGCCCTGTTCTTATGTGTAATTGAAAACATAAAGCCACATTTAAAAGTATGCATTTCCATTAATTCTGATAATATTTTCCTTCAGAGAGGAAAATTAGATAGTTTTGCTAAGTTTAGAAATCCTGAAGCTACCTTTGTAGCAGGAATGTAAATTAGCTAATCTCTAAGGAAGCAGTCCGGCGGCCTGTACTAGTAAATCCACATACCTTTTGACCTGTTAGTCATGAGCCTTAAAATTTACTCTTTAAATATGCCCCCACATGGGCAGATTGGCTCATGTGCAAGGCAGCATTGTTTGTAAAAGCAAATGGTTGGAATCAGCACAAGAAATCATCATTAGCGACTAGATGAACATACTACATTCCCTCCTTGCACTGGAAAACTCTGACACCATTAAAAAGAACAACAAAGTTGTCCTAAGACATTTTGTTAAGCAAAGAAAAACAAGAGTGTGTGGTGGAACTTTGATGTGTTTGCTTAAGAAAAACAGGTCGGGGGTAAAAAAGATAACTGAGTACACAAAAAACTACTAAAGTTGGTTGTATCTGTGGTGTAGAGAGCCAGGGAGCTCAAAGTCAGGAGTGTTTAAAGCTGCTGTGTTGGAGAGAGAGGGAGAAGGGGAAGTATTCCGAAGTCGTCATCAGTACAGGTGGGATCGTGGAACAAATGTAGAAGCAAAGAAAAAGAGTTGTACACAAGGCCTGAGAGAGCACAGCGGGTAGGACACTTGCCTTGCGCGTGGCCGAGCTGGGTTAGGTGCCCAGAACCACACAAGATTCCTCAACCCCCTGATCCCACCCTCGGGCCCCAACACACACACACCAAGAGTGATCCTTGAGCACAGAGCCAGGAGTAAACCCTGAGTACCACAGGGGTTGCCCTCCCCCTCAAAATATTTTTGCAGACATTCAGAAGGAATGAGAATAGAAAAGGAAGATTAGAATAGGATGTTTGTTAAGGTCAAAAATGAAAGCTTTGAGGGTTGTTGACCCTCAACTCCACAAGACTGCTCCTGTGCAAGGATTTTGCCTTGTTCTCTGGGGTTCCTTTGCCTGGTGAGATGGAGCACCCCGTATTTCCCTCCTCCCTCTGTTTCCTGAGCAAGTAGAAACTCCTCTGGTGGCCTGTGTGTGCACAGACCTGGAATCGCACCAGACGCAGAGAGCTCATTCGTACTGAAGGAATGGGGCAGGGGTGGGCAGGGAGTAGTGGGGGTTGGTGCTACCTTTTTCAAGAACCCGTCTTGGACTCCCCAAGCTCAAGTCATTCCCTCTGTTAGCTGAAGTGTACTTAGGATTCAAACCTCAGGACTAGGGAGGGTTGGAGCATGTGTTTTGCATGTGGGAAGCCTAGGTTGGATCTCTGGCACAGATGGTGCATGGAGCACCACATGGGGAAGAGAAATAGAATTCATAGTTGAGCACTCGGTTATTTCACACATTCATTTTAGTTATTCTCTTACTACATTGGAAAGTTCTGAGGACAAAGACTTTAAGTGTGGGACATTGAACAGATTCAGGGGTCAATGGGAAAGGGAAAGACGAGATGGAATATGTGTTAAGAGTCATCTGTGTGAATCAGTTTGAAAAGTTGGGCATGAGCCTATAAAAGAAATATGTTTTCATTTCCTTGGAGTCCAGGTAGGCTGTGATGGGAAAACAAAAACTGTGTTTGGAAATGTTGTGTTATATTTGGAAATGATGTTTACATTTGGAAATAAAGTGTTTGAAAGAGGGATTCATCATTGGGTTTATCTAGGGGTTATTCAGGGGGTTAATTCATCTGTTCTTCAAGGACACATGACACTGAATAGCAAAAATTTTGCTAGGCAGGCAGAGGAAGAAATGCTACTCAGGCAGAATATAAATATTTGGAGCAGAAGTTTTGAGGTATGAAGGAAGTTATCTTGCCTGTAGGAGGTCAAGTCATGCCTTGCTAAAGCTAAGAGTCCAGGGGAGTTACCACGGAGATGAAGATGAAGAAGACACAGGAGTGAGGTCAAGCTTCAAGCTCCAGCACAGACATGCTGTGAGCTGCTGTGTTCTACTTTTCTATCACCTGATAGAAAGTAGAATAAGATCACTCTAGCTTTACAGAAAAGTGAAGGGAGGAGAGTTACTCAACAAATCTCACTTTTAAAAATTCTTTGTTTCACTTTTGACCTCTGCAAGATTTTTGCATTTTGTTCCAGAGTGCATGATTGGCATAATAGGAAAGAGCTGTTTCTAGTTCCTTATCTCCATATGTAAATAGGATGCTGCCCAGACTTCCCTGAAAGGAGGGGGCTTGGTGATACCTGTAGGTAGGAAAGAGACTGGGAGGTATTTAGCAAGGAGAGGCATGCCATCTTTCTAAAGGATACCGAAGGGTGGGCTGAGGGGCACCAATGGAAGCTCTGCCAGGAACCCGACAAGCCTTCCCTGAGTGGATCCGCACAGCTCCTTCCCTGAGTGGATCCGCACAGCTACGTGTGTGGTGAGAGGGGAATGAGGAAATGGAAGCCCACAGAGATTGCACCACTGCACCATGGTGAAGACAGGAATTTGATCCTGGACTTCGGTGGTTTTTAAGGTCCTTTTTAAGGTGGTTTTCCCTGTTCTTCACTGCCTCCAGGAGGCGGAGGGCTTCTCTCGTGGACCAGGTGGGAGGAAATGAGGACCTGTCGAGGGCAGAAGGGAGAGGGCAGGAGGAGAGAACTAAGTGGGAAAAAAGCCAAGCAACTTGAGAGACCTCCCAGCTATAGTTGGGAGAAGGAAAGAGAAAAGTCATGACAGGTTCCTGGAGCAGGTCTTGTTTTCCTGGATCCACGTTGAGCAAGAAAACAGGCAGAAAGCAATTCCACGTGCAAGTTCACCCCAGAGTTCAGGAGAGACCTCAGGAGCGGGTCCAAGAGCTCTAGGAGATGATGCTGGGAGAATCACGGTAACGGTCCTGGGGTTGTTTTTCAGGTTTGTTTGAAGCGACTGCACCAGAGAGCCAGGCAGGAGGAGAAGGGAATTGAGCTGGCGTATCTCGAGCAGCTTCATGAGCAGCATGAGGCCTGGCTTGTCCATAAGACAACCAAGTAAGTGTTGAGCAGACGCCGAGTCCTGCCTCCCTCCTGCCAGTTGTTGGAACACAGATGGACATGCAGCCTGTAAGATGGTCTTGAATGTACTAGAAGAGGTTGGAAATTTTAGGCCACTATTCAACTCAAATTTAATAGTGGGTGTAACCTGAATATTCCAAGAGACTTTTTATAAGGTCCCATTTCTCCAGCTTTTTTGTTGTTGTTCTACTTGATTGAATTTTATGATTGATGATGGTCATCTAGTTGATTCAGACTGAAGAGTTGAAGATTGTAGAGAAATTGTGCATTTTGCTAAATTGACATTCTTAGTTTCTGCCTTTTCTCCCTTAGACTTGCTCAGTTATCTACTTAAAATGGGGCTCAGACCTTAAGTATTAGCCTTACAATTAAAAAAGAAATTTTCAGGGCCAGAAAGTTATTGCAGGAAGCTAAGGCACTTGCCTTGCATGTGACCAACTCCGGTTATCTGGGTCCCCACCAAGAGAGAGCGACCCCAGAGTACAGGGTCAGGAGTAGTCTCTGAGCATTGCTGGGTGTGGCCCAAACTCTCCATCCCTAACTTAAAAAAAATAAATAAATTTCATCCTCTATTCCTACCACCTTTATTTTGGTGGGGAGGGGCACACACTTGACAGTACTCAGGGTTTACTCCTGGTCAGCCAGGTGCACAGCAAACATGCTACCCACTATCCTGTCGTTCTGGCCCCATTCCTGCCAACTTTAAATCTGGTTTGTTTTTTAAAAAACTATTTTTAATTTCTTTAGAACAGAGTTTGTCTTTTATCAGATTTCATAAAGTTTTTCTTTACAGTTTTTTCATATTTATTTTAGCTTCTGTAATTCTCAGGCCAAAGGGCCCTGTGATTCAGTGCTAAGGCCTAAAGCTCTTTGGGCCCAACGGGAATTACTGGGTCACCCCAGAGATGCTGGCAGTGGTTGGGTACCTCTAGAGCTGTCTCTGATAACTGCTCAGGGACCAGGTCATACCAGAGATTGAATCAGGGTCAGATTCATGCGAAGCATGAGCTTTACTTCCCTGTACTATGGTCCTTAGTTCTTTTTCAGGGGGGGAGGTAGGAAGGGTGCATCAGTCAGCCACATGTGGCAGTTCTCAGGGCTTACTTCTGGCTCTGTACTCAGGGATTACTCCTGGTGGTGCTTGGGGGACCATGTGCAGTGCTGGGGATTGAGCACTACGTGTGGCTGGCCACATGCAAAGCCAGCACCCTACCCACAGTACTGTCTCACCACCACCCATTTTTTTTATTATTATTATTATTATTGTTGTTGTTGTTGTTATTAAATTTCTACAGCTTCATATTACTAAATTTTGTTGAGAAGCCATGTGAGTGTAGTTCTGTTCTCTGAACTAATAAGACTTCACAAACAAGTCTCAAAGTAGGCTCAGCTTTCAGTCATTTTACATATCCCATAAATGTCGGTGCTTCTTTTAGGCTCCACTTTGATACTCTGCTCAACATTCCAGTGCTGGTGCTGGATGTCAATGATGACTTTTCTGAAGTCGGAACCAAACAAGAGGAACTTCTGGCAAAGGTAGGGGGTACTGAGCACCCACCCGCCTTCCGGGGGCTTTCCTTCATTGGGCTTTGAATCTTGGCATCAAGTTTCAGTGTCATGGGTCTCACATTTTGTGCCTCTCTTCCCATGGAGCTTGTGGGTGTGTGGAATTTTGCACAAGTTACTAATACAATCCCCCGATCTCTGAAGTATTTCAGGCTAATGGTGATTTCCAGTCAATTTCAGTTAGGTCCTAAGATTCACAGTAGTGTCGGTATCTCTGTTCTACCCCTGTCATGTTGATCCAGCACCTCAGCCACGAGAGCGCCCAGCATTCCTTCCCTACTGTAGCAGACTCGGCTCTCCATGCCGGCTCGTGGGGTCTAGGGGTCTCTTATCATTGGCCAGAGTTTGCTCCCTGACTCTTCCTTTACATGCTGGGCTGATGAAAATACCTCCCTGACTCTGTTTCTTTACTAGAAAAATTTCTCCTCTAAGGTATTCTAGAACTAGAAAATGCAACTTCTCGATTTTTCTCCCAGCTCTGTCTTTACCCTCAGTGTGACCCTGGGTAGATCATCTTTTTCTCTTTGTGCCCTTCCTAATATCTCCTGGGCTTGGCTACAGATATGTCATAGATGGACTTTTGTATAGCCCACTGAAAATGTGAACTTTAATTTTTTTTTTCTCTTTCCCTCAGGTAAACACCTTTGTAAAAAATCTATAGTCATATTCTGGGATTTAAATTTTTTTGAATTTTGTACATACAGTATTGTAGCACCAGACACCGCCAGAGTCAGCAACCCTCCAGCCAGTGCTCCCAGGTTCCCGCTCATATTCCACATCTCCCCACCCCCACCCCCGGCCTCCCCAGCCTGCCATGTTGACAGCACCAGTGGTGTTCGCTGCCATTGTTCTAGAAGACCAAGTAAGTCCTGGGTGATGCAGCCTCTCTCCTGAGATGCTGTGCTGAAGTATTTGTGAGAGAAATGAAGAAATGTTGTGTGGAGAAGAACTGCTACTCCGTGACGTCCACACAAGAATGCAATTGCCTACTGACACATTTCTCACAACATATTTTTGTCATTAAGTGATGCAGGACCATAGGCTTATGAGAAAAATATACGCTTATATAGAATTGCAGTGCTTGTTGCAAGAAGTCTGCAGGCCTCTGATTCACCAGATCCAGAATTCACCCATGCAGCCCTTGACAGTTGTGCAGGCACGCAAGGAATTGAATGAGTTCAAGGCTAAATATCCTGAGAGAGCTGTGTTTCCCTTAGTGATAAGTCAGTGTGATGTTTGGAAATTAAAGCACAGCATATTATTAGCTTTAAGACAAAAAAGTTTTAAATTGAGACATAACTCATGGACAAAGCACCTCACCCATTTAAAGTATAAAGTGTCTTCCTGAATAGCTAAAGCAGTCCTAAGAAAAAGGAAGGTGGGGTGCATTGCTTTCCATAACTTCAAATTGTATTACAAAATGGTCGTAATTAAAACAGCATAGTATTGTGATATTGGTAGTGGAAAATGTGCACTGGTGAAGGGATGGGTGATTGATCATTGTGTGACCGCCCAAAAGCTTTATAACTGTTCTCATGGTAATTCATAAAAAAAATAAAATAAAAAGCCTCTGCACTTCAAAGGAAACAATGTCCAGAATACAAAAACAGTCCACTGAATGGGAAAAATTATTTACCCAACACTCATTTGATAGCGATTAATATCCAAGATGTATAAGGCACTGGAAGAACTTTACCAAAAAAAAAAAAAAAAAAAGAACATACAACGCCATCAAAAAGTGGGGAGAAGAGATGAACAGAAACTTCCTTAAAGAAGAAATATAAATGGAATGGCCAGAAGGTGAAAAACTGCTCTGAATCACTAATTATCAGGGAGATGCATCTCATGCAACAAAAACTGGCACACATAGGTCAGAAAGAACAACCAGTGCTGGCATGCATGTGGGGAGAAAGGGACTCATATCCAGTGTTGTTGGGAATGCCGATTGGTGCCTTTTTTCTGGAAAACAATATTATTATTTTTGAGGTTATTCCTCAAAAAACTAGAAATTGAGCTTCTATACACCTAGCAGTACCTCTCCTGGGAATATATCCTAATGACCCAAGAACGCACAGCAGAAAAGGCAGGGGAAGGAGAGGAGGGCAGTTAAGACAGAGGGTCACTGTGACGATGATAATTGGAAATGATCACTCTGGACAATAACTGAAGTGATATGCTGATACCCTTTCAGTAGCAGTATTGCAAACCACAGTGCCTAAAAGGGAAAAGAAAAAAAAGTGTTTGCCATAGAGGCAGGCTGCGGGGGCAGGATGGGAGGGAAACTGGAGATTTTGATGGTGGGAAATGTACCCTGGTGAAGGGATGGGTGTTAGAACATTGTATGACTGAAATTTAATCATTGTCACTGTCACTGTCCTCCCGTTGTTCATGGATTTGCTCGAGCGGGCCCAGTAATGTCTCCGTCGTGAGACTTGTTGTTACTGTGTTTGACATATCGAATATGTCATGAGTAGCTTGCCAGGCTTTGCCGTGCGGGAGGGATACTCTCGGTAGCTTGCCGGGCTCTCGAGAGGGGCGGAAGAATTGAACCCGGCTCGGCCGGGCCGGCCGCGCACAAGGCAAACTCCCTACTGCTGTGCTATTGCTCCAGCCCATCATGAACACAGTGATTAAATAATAAAAGTGTGTAGTTTGGTGTCAGATTTATAGCTCAGAGGGCTGGAGTGCAGCTTTGCATGCTGGAGTCCTGAGTTCAGTCCACTAGCACCAAGTCAGTGTGGTCCAATGCCCCTGCAGTTTTTCCATCAGCACAAACAATTCCGTTTTTCACCCCAAGAAGAAATGTCATGCCTTTAGTAGTCACTCCATTTCACACCTCCCCACAGTCTTTACTCATCCCCACCCCGATAGGCAGCCATCAATCTACTTTTTGGGGGGTTTTGTTTGTTTCTTTTTTTTTTTTGGACCACACCTGACAGTGCTTAGAGTACTTTTTCATGGCTCTGTGCTCAGTGGTGGGATTTAGGAGACCAAATTTATGTACCAGGGATCAAACCTGGATTCTATGTAAGGCAAGTGCCTTACCTATGTCTCTGGCCCATACTTTGTATCTGTGATTTGCCTGTTCCAGACATTTTGTATAAATGGAATGTCATAATATGTGCCTTTTGTGTTAAGCTTCTTTTGTTTCCAGGGCTTATTAAAAGTTCATCTGTAGTATGTACTTTCATTTATCGGTGGTTCATTTTTTTGTGTGAATAAATGGTTTATGCATATTCCACATTTTGCTTTATTTAGGAGTAAGCTCTGAACACAAACAAGGCAGTTATCCCTCCACGGCAAGGGCAAATGCAGGGGCGAGAGACAGCATCGTCCCTCTGTTCCAAAACACTGAGAAAAACTAGTGAGTCACATAGGGGGGATTTCACATGGGGAACCCCAACCGTCCCCTTGAGGAGCCTGTTTCTGTATTTATGAGACATCAGCTTTTTTTTTTCAGTTTGGTTAATTTTGGAATAATTTTAAATACGCAGAAAAGTGGCGAAGACGGTGCAGTTTCCACATATCCCTGACCTAGTTTCCCTTCATGCCAACATCTTAAACTGCATTTGTCAAAATCAAGAAGCCAACACTGGGGGAAGAGGGAGCAGCAAGGAAACTGGGGATATCGGTGATGGGAAATGTACCCTGGTGAAGGAATGGGTATTGGAATATTGTATAACTAAAACCCGACAATGGACAATTTTGTAACTACCTCATGGTGATTCAATACAAAATAAAAAGAAGCCTACGTTGATTCACTGCTCTTAACTAAAACCATTTAGATTTCACTAGGGTTTTTGTTGTTGTTGTTGTTTTTTAAATCTTCATTTGCTTCTTTCTCTTCCAGGATCCACTCCAGGATACTGCTTTGCATTTAAATACCGACCTTCTAATCTTTAGTTTTGGTTTGGGGGCCACATGTAGTGCCAGGGATTGAAATTGGAGCTCCTGCACTAACACCCAAGAATAGCCGAGATAAGTAGTACCAGGAAGTTTACTTCATGGCTTGGAGGCCAGCCACACATACGCTAGGGGTAAAGGCAGCTCAGATAGAGAAGGGAGCACCAAATAAAGGGTGTTGGAAAGATCTGCCCAGGATGGGATATGCATGCTGAAAGTAGACTATAGACCGAACATGATTGCCACTCAGTGCCTCTTTTGAGAACAAAAGGAAATGCCCTGCCACAGAGGTTGGGGCTATGGGGGGTGGGAGGGATACTGGGATCATTAGTGGTGGAGAATGGGCACTGGTGGAGGGATGGGTACTTGATCATTGTATAACTGAAGCCCAAGCACAAAAATTTATAAGTCTACAACTGTACCTCATGGTGTTTCACTAATAAAAATTTTTTTAAAAAAGAAATTGGAGCTCCTGAATGGAAGGCATGCATTTTGGCCCACCCAGCCACCTCCTCATCTGATACCAATATTTCTAAAGGAAGTAATTCAATGTAAGATGGGTGGGCTTTGTTTTGGGCCTCTCTGGGTCAGCATGTGCTGCTGCTTGGGCCCTGTGGAGTCAGGGATCACCCAGGCCATACTTAGGAAGTTTAAGGACCTCCAGGGTTCCTTCTAGAGATGTCTGAGGAATGCTGTGGTTCTGGGGATTGGTCAGGAGGTTGGTCATATGCAAGGCAGGTGCCTTAATCTCTGTACTATCTTGCCACCCCCCACAATAAAAGGTCACGATCATCCTGTTTTTCATCAATTTCCTCGAGCAGGCACCAGTAATGTCTCCTTCTTCCTAGCCCTGAGATTTTAAAAGAGCCATTTCAATGTTCTTTCAGGATTATTAGAATGAGACCCATCATTGTTACTGGCATTTGGCATATTGAGTATGACACAGGAAGTTTGCCAGACTCTGCCAATAAAAGGTAATTCTAAGAAAATCATCTGGGGGTCTGAGAGTTAGTACAAGGGTTTAAAGGATCTGTACACTGTGAACCTCAGTTCAGTCCGTGGCATTCATATGTTTACCTGATTCCTGCCCGGAGTGATCCCAGAGCACAGAGCCAGGTGTGGCCCCAAAACCAAAAACCCCAAAACAGAAACACTTAAAACAGCTATGAGACAATAGTATCGAACTCATGCTGCCATAACCCATGTCCTGGCCCACTGGGGCTAAAAATCACTGTATTTTCACACCAGGGGAATTCCAGGGCATATAACCAGACAGGGAGAAAGCATTCTATAGGATCTGGTTGGGGGGAAGGGTTGATTTTAGCTAACATTTAAATGATGCTTCTACAGACTCTGTAGTGGCGGGAACTGTAACACAGACCCAGGTTCGCTTCCTGTCAGAGCACAAACCTAAGATAAATGTGGAATGCTGTGGTCAAAGGCCCTTCCTTATCTGAAGCTCTGGACCTGGGCTGCAAATCAAGCTCGCTTCTCTCTGTTAAAGCCACTTAGATCCTCCAGGCAAGAGAAGCATGTTTCATTTTTACTACAAAGTTTCCAACTGCCGACTTTCTAATGGTCCGTGGGCTCCAGACAGAGGCTTCTGGGGGAGTCAGAAAAAGGTGGTCTGAGCTCCCCAGGAGGGGGCCATTAGCTCTGCCTCCTGGCGGATTGCTAAGGAGAGAAGTTTCATGGCAACTTTGTTGCTGACCGCAGGTCCCTGCAGCAACCTGATCAATATCCAGCCCTTTTCCTTTCTGGGTCTAAACTTGTTTTCACTCTGCAGCCTACCTCACCTGGTCCACCTTAGCCAAATCTCAGGGTATGGGTATATTGAAGCAAGCTCACCTCCCACTCCCTTAATCCCCCCCCACAGGAGAAATGACTTACAAATCTGTCGCTGTAGTAACGCCCCCCACCTTATGTTTCCCAAGAGGGTCTCCTCAGCTCCGAGCCCACTCTCACACCCCTCTCCTCTCCTGACCACCAGGGCATGCTTCCCTGCCCTCCAAAGGAAGCCCTAGTGAACCTCCTCGTCATCTCCTCTCTCTACGGAATGTTTATCTCCCACATCTCTCAGATCTCTCTCTCCGGGCTTCTCTAGTCAAAGATGCAGAAGACATAGTGGGTGGCTCCCCCCGGGTTTTCTCTCAGAGGGAGTTGCATGTTAGCAAGCAGCCAGAATGCTTGCTCATGCCTTTCTCCTATCAACAATCATCTCTTTCCCCCCCAACCCACTGTGGTTAGGTGGTCTGGTGGGGCTCATGCTTTGAGCGGTAACAGCTCATGAAAGCAGAGCATTTCTACTGTGTCCACATAGGAAGGGTCAGTGGGCAGCTATCTGGTGGCAGGGCTGGGTCAGGGAGCCTGGTGTGGAGCTGTGTCTGCACAGTCACTGCGAGGAGCCGTGACTTCTTTGTGGTGGTCCGTAACCCACCTGACGTGCTTCACTCCCTCTTCCACATCCTTTCTCCCCACCGTTATTTTCTGGACGAACTTGCTGCATGTTTTAGCAAGTCCGGGCTCTGCTTCTCTCTCTCTGAGTCTCACCTCCTACACACAAGGGGTGGGCCTTTGCACTCCTGGCCACTTTGTCAAATGTATCAAACCCGATTGAAAGTTGTCTGCAACATCCTCTCCTAAGTTTTCCCCTTCTTGACAGAGATCTTGTCCCTTAGCGCAGTGCCTGGAGCTCACTATCTGTTGCTCTTCAGTGGACGAGCACCTAATGTAGAGGAGACGAAATGAATGAAGCAACTGAAGACATGCAGTCATTGTTCTCTGCTCTCGATATCTCACCATCGATGTACAAAGTCCCTGTCATGTGCTCAAGCTCTGAAGAAGA